TAAACCGCTGACACCATGAGCCAAAATAAACATTTCCTCCTTTGAAGTTGTTTATCTCAGGTGTTTGGTCACGGTGACAGAAAGCTAACAGGGAACATATCTAAAGTTATAATGAACTCCAAAGGAGGCAGTGTAAATTTAGTCATAGAAATGCAAATATTGACTCTCTTTCTGGAACCTTCAGTACACTCCAAAAATAATCTTACATRGTAAAAGGGTGATTCACAGCTAGAGGAGGCACCCCTTGATGGACAGAGCTCTGCTTCCATATGATCACTCTCCCTCAACGTGTAATTGCTGTGAGGAAAGGGACGCTCCTCTGTGTTTTTAGGTATTGAGTTCTGAATCCATTGAGAGAGATAATGGAGCTGGCCGGACAAATGTAAAATGTCWTCATCATTATAGAGGCTAGGGTGAAGGATGTGGCTTAGGTGTACAGCCACAGTGGACTTCCCAGGTACAAACCCCAGTGGTGGAGAGGCTTTGGCTCCTGTGTATAAGCTGAGTGAGAAAACCACAGCCTCCTACACCCAAGGAGACTTACTGCTGAGCTTCCTTCCACATGGCCAAAAGCAAAGCAGCATGTGCTCCCCACAGGAAGGCTGATCCCAAGGAAGAAGAGTCAGAGTGAATTTCAAAGGCTGCAGTTCCTTTCCAGCTGAGTCCCTGGGGGCATACTAGAGGCCATGGGCATGAAATGAGACAGGAAGGGAATAGATGCTCTACCTCAGTGCTGTTGAGTGGTAGAGCCATGGGCACCCCTTCATGCTCCACAAATGCTTGATTGTGGTGGCATTCTGTCATGCCTTTCTATCTTTCTTTTTCTTTAACTGTGATGAGAAAAAACATATTACATAAAATGTATCGTCTTAATCATGTTTAAGTATGCAGCCCAGTAGTAGTAAATGTATGCACATGGCTACACAGCAGATCTAGAACTTTTTCATCTTGCAACACTGAACTCTATTCCACTCTGCACCACTTCCCTCTCTTCACTCTCTCCAGCTCTTGCCCATCTGTTCTACTTTGTTTTTATAGTTTTGACTACTTCAGATACTTCTTGTGAGTGAACCAGTATTTGCCCTTTGTTGACTGGCTTATTTAGCTTGCATATGTCAGGTTTGAGGTTTGTCCCTGTTGTAACAGGATTAACTTTTTCGAAGCTTGCCTTTTCCATGTGGGTAGATCCCACACTTTATCCATTCATTTCTTGGTAGACATTTGAATTGCTTCTACTTCTTGAATATTATGAATAATGCTGCAAAAGACCATGGATGTACAATTATAATTATCTCTTTTAAATTTTTTGGTTATATATTCAGAAGTAGAATCGTGGAATCATATGATGATTCTACTTTTAATTTKGGGGGAAATTTCCTTAATGTTTATTCCCACCAATAATGCACATGGGTTCCAGTTTCCCCACAACCTCACCATTGCTTGTTATTTTCTGCTTAATAGTGGTCATGCTCATGGGTGTGAGATAGCTCATTGTGACTTTGATTTGCATTTCTCTGATGATCTATGACGTTCAGAATGTTTTCATACATTTGTTGGATATTTGTGTATTTTCTTTGTCTATTCAGTTGCCTTTTGTTGTTGTTGTTGTTTGGTTTTGTTTTGCTTTTGTGTTTTTAATTTGTCTGTTTTGTTTGTTTGTTTGTTTTTTTCAGTGCTAGGGATAGAACCCAGGGCTTGGGCCTGCTAGACAGGCAGTCTACCACTGAACTCCACCCCAGCCCTAAATACCCTATTTTTTAAATCAGGTTATCCGATAGTCTTTTGTTGTTTTTGTTGAGTTGTAGAAGTTCTTTAGATATGTTTGATGTTAACCTCTTGTCAGATTCGTKCTTTGAAAGTACTTTCTCCCCATAAGTCATGTGTTCACTCTGTTGATTGTTCCTTTGACAACTCTTTTTATGCTACTAGCATCCAACAATTTCATAACTAAGGAAKCCTTTGGCTTATTTTTCCTCCCATAACCCTCACATTTTGAAAGAAGTCTGTCTTCCAAATATTTATTAAGTCATAATTCATTTCAAAGAGTCAAAATGATATTGCACATTTCCACATATTAAGACTCTGACAAGCTAATGAAACTGTCAAATTCCTTTGTTTATATCTGTACTTATATCATTCACWGTGCCAGTAACTTGATGGGTCAAAGTAGACAGAAATGAAAAGGAAAGGTGATATCCTACCATTTAAATTCCATTATCTCTAAAATATCATTTTGCAGTGACTAGTGGATTCAATTGTTATTCATCTTTCTTTTCTGATGAATGCTTGAGTTACATGAAATAGGTTTTCTTTACCATAAGTGCCTGTAGATCTTTTTTGAAACAGAGTAATTGTTTGTTTTATTAAAATAAATTTAAACCATGAGAATATATATGGTAGAATAAACTTCCAGTGATCACGTGTCACCTCACACTATTTATTTATTTGTCTATCTTYACAGTGCTGGGGGTTGAACCCAAGACCTCATGCATGCTAGACAAACACTCTACCACTGAGCACACCACAGCTCCATCTGTTATTAATCACTCAGTGTATGTCACACCCAGCTGTGAAATGTGGGGGAAAAAAATACACCAATTGGCATAGCTCTTACTCCCAAGGGTCTTGGTCTTATTCCCCAGGCAAGAATACACCTAAACCATCAGTGCCAGAAAAATTAAATAAGAGCATTGCTTATTTATATGCTTGCCATGGAATCTGAAAGAAGCCTGCTGTAGAAATTCTTTGCCAAATTCAATAAGTTTAGATTCTCAAAATCTATTATGAACTGGCATTATACTAGAATTAAACAGTATACTCTTGGGATGTCATTAGACTGGGAAGACAAATTATTGGCTCATCATCTATACTTAAATCATGTCTTCTGTTCAACCTGTGGATCACACTGGCAGAATAATGTGCTTTGGTTTGTATAGACTTACAATGTTGATGAGACTGTGAGAACAGAAATGAGAAATGGTAGTTTAGTAGATATTTTTTATTACCAAATAGACAAGATGAGTCAAGTCTACAGAAAGCTTCATCATCTTCTTTTCCAATAAAAGTCCATTTTCACATTGAGGATATGAGTGATATTAAGAGCTCAGAATGGAACCAACACAAGGAAAGGGATCAGGTATTTTAGTATTTAAAATTAAGGTATTATGTTGTAATTCTACAACATGTACAACCAGTAGAATGAGAAGTTATGCTCCATTTATGTATGATGTGTCAAATGCATTCTATTGTCATGTGTAACTAATTAGAACACATAAAAAAAGAAAAAAAATGAAAGTATTAACAAATTAAATGCCTATTAGAGATTATCTGTTTTCAAGTAAGAACAATTTTATTTCACTTAATTAATTCCACAAATGCTGTATTGTTAAAAGAAGAAAAGGAGTTGTTTGTGAGATACACTTTCCTACTCAGAGCTCATTTGTCTTCTCTTCAGTAGAGGTGAAGGTATATGTGTGTGGAATGGCACTCTTAGCTAGTTATTATGTATCCATTATTTTGTCTGTTATACATCTGCTCTTAGAAATGGCAAGGCTAAACCAGGAGTCTAGGTGCATGCCTGTAATCCCAGGGGCTCAGGAGGCTGAGGCAGGATGATCACAAGTTCAAAACCAGCCTCAGCCATTTAGTGAGGCCCTCAACAACTTAGCAAGACCCTGTCTCTAAAAAAAATATATTAAAAAGGGCTGGAGATGTAAGTGTCTCTGGGTTCAATCCCTGGTACCAAAAAAAAAAAAAAAAAAAAAAGGCAAGGTTGGGTTGAATGATCTCTTATCCTAAGCTGTATGACAAACTATGCTGATCTTTATTCTTTTTTTTAATTTTGTTTATTTTTTTTTTAGTGTTATTGTTCATTTTAGCAGAAAAGTGGAAGAAAGGGCATTAACTCTTGACATGTGATTAATACAGAAGTTATTTATAAATGAACTAAAAGTATTTAACCACATCAGAGCCAATTAATTTCCTGCTCTTTTGATTTTTTAATACTGAATTTACCTTTTTTTAGTGTTTCTTCTAGTTCTTTGACGTTTTCCTCTAGTCATCCACTCATTCATTAATTTGTTAATTTTACAAAATATTGTTCAACCTGGAAGCAAAATGCTGATTTGGTCCACTTCCATTGCCACATCTATGAGGTACTCAGAAAATCACCCAAGTTTTAATATTTGCTACTGTGCTCCCCAGTGTTTGCTCCTGACTGGGATCTAATGGATCTTTGCCATATTGAATTAAGAAATCTGGAGCTGGTACCATACTTTGAATGATCTGTCACAATTAAGCCAGATTTCTTACATCTAGCTTTCTGCTTCATCCATGCTGTGAGTGTAGACCTGTTCTCATTTTTCTGTACTTTAATGAGATTCCCAGGAATGTACTTGCTGTTCTAGACACTTCACGTAATTACAATCAAGATTTAATAGTGTTAGTGCTGTTACCACCTCTTTGTAGTGACTTGGAGTCCTTTTACTGCTTTTGCATCATTTCTGTCCTGACGATGAAATTTCTGGTAAGAGTTATCATTGATCATAGATTTTCATTACTGTGTATCCACGTGGCCCACAGATTACATAAATTGCAGATTGACGGGGGATCTGTTTGGAGAACATAGAGATTTGTGCTTGGCACTGGGTCTTGAATAAGTCTCTGGAGATCCCTGATCCATGCAGTGGAGGTCTTGGAGAGCAGGACCCTTTGTTTGTCTCTCTGCTCCTTTTTTGCACCCTCTTTGCTGCCTTGCCCAGTTGTCTTTAATATGGAATTGTAATACAAGAAGGTTGAAAACCCCTAACGATCACAAATGCAAACAGAACAGGAGTTCCCTGTCTTGGTGTTTCAGAATGAAAAATAATAGTGAAACTATATAGGCAATGTCCACAGCAAGTTTGCTAATTGCCTTTATCATTTGGGTTTGGAAATTTAAAGTTGTACATACAATGTGTTTTTTCATGATTTGATTTTTTTTTTCCTCTTTCTTTTACCAGGTTTCACCAAAACTCATGCCAATGCAGCAAATCACAACTTGAAATATGGAGTAGACGTTTGCCCCAGGCTGTTAGTTTTTCAATTTAAGCACAGAGGATTTAATTGAAAGAATGTCAGGATCATAATTGTATATTTAACAAGCAGTTTTTGACTAGTTTTTGTCTGGTGTTTCAGGATTTATGCAGCCATATAGATTTTGTTCTCTCAAGTGTACTATGATACTTTAATGAAAAACAAAAGGAAAACATTTATGATTATTTTATTTTCTAAGTGCTTAGAAGGTTGTCTTTACCATTGGTGCTCACATTGGATGTATCTTTTTCATGTGTGCTATGCTAAGTTATATGCAGTATTTACTAAGATGGGCCCTAGGAAGAGTTTCATTGATAAGCCTTCCCTTATACCTAAATTATGGCTTAGTACTTATGAAAGAAAAATAATATGTATGTGATTAGGAAGAATACTATCTTCGTGATTGTTTTCCCTTCAGTCTCCTCTGATTTTTTGCCTCCGGTCTGCCTAGACCATCCTCCTTCCTCCCATCCTTCTTGTAGCTAAATAGATACCCAAGAAAACAAGCAGGGATGTCTTTGGCAGAAGAAGTAACTTGTTTGTGGGAAAGACCAAAAGGTCTATTGCTGTTGACACACCATCAAGAAGCTGCCGTAATAGACAACCAACCATCCATCTGTGCTTTGCCAAAGGCTAAGCTAACTATGGGAAGAGGGCTAGAAACCTAACTGATCTGCTAGGACAGTTTTCTCTGTTTTAAACAGTGCACTATTTCTTTCTATCTAGTTGGATCCTTAAGATTACTTCCCTGTTACAGAGGCCCAGTGGACTACTTATACAATACCTTCTCCTAGGTCAAGAAGAATTGTGGTAATTTATCATGAGTCCTTAATCACAGTGACAGCAGAGTTAAAAAAAATAAAATAATAAAAGATACATTTTTTTTTTTAGGCTCTGATTTCTGCTCAGAAAAGTTTCTAAATATTGAATGACTTTTCTACAGAGCAGTGGTTTTTCTGCCTAAGCTACTTCCTTTAATAAAGTACTTTTAATTCAGCCTTAATCAAGCCAGGGAAATAATGATGGACAAACCTGAGATTTGAAGAGTTGGTGAATTTTTAATGTTAGGGAATAGACATGGCAGATTAATCTTGTAAAGGACGTTTCTTCAAAGGTTTACTCAGTACCAGGGGGATTGCTTCAGAAGTATCCTGGGCATCTGATGGGAGAGAGTCTAGACACCCTGAAACCAGTCCAGACAGCAGGTCTCTGGACAGAGAAAGGCAGAATACCATGCAATATATCATTCCTCTGGCAGGAATTTATGCACGTTTTTAGGTGATGACTGTTATTGGAACTCACTCCTCTTCAGGTATGCCTAGAATTGTGTTATGTACAATATTCAAGGAAGAAGAGAGATTTTTTTTGTGAGTAGCACACTTTGCACAAAAGACAGCCTTTCTGGCTGACTGCATAGTACTTATAAAAATAAATCTTAGAATGTACAAGTTCCACTGAGAGTAATATTTATCTATATTAGAGTTGTGATTTAGAAAAAAAGTTATGTTATTAATGGTTGTTATATGTTCAAACTTACTTGTTTATCATTCCAGTCTGTTACTTTAACATGATGTGATTCTAAAAAAGTTCTAAACATTGGCAAAACTTAAATAGATGTTTTAATGTTCTTGATCAGAGAGTGTATCATAATGTTAAGAACTGCGTTAAGAAATACAATAAAGATTCCAAGTTGATAGAGATCAGTGTGCTTGTCCTGTTTCTCACTTGGGGATAGTGCAGTTAAAGATGTGAATTATGCAATAGAGGTGTTGTTGGAATAGCTAACGATAAAGGCATCCATTATCACTTTTAATCAGATTGCTTCTTTTCTCTTTATCTTACCAAAGAAGAGATATTGTCCTTCTAAAACAAGCAAATGAACCATTACCTAACTAAAGTCCACACCTTGTTCCTAGAAAAATAATGAAGGTTTCATGTGTTAATTTTTTTGCTCTCACCTAATATTTTCCTTTATGATAGACATACATTAATTAATTTCCCAGTAGTTGAGTTTTGTTGCACTTCGGAGTGTCTCCTGTTTGCCCAGCATCTATCTGTGTTTACTCTCTAGAAACAGACTTACCCCATGGCTAAAGGAGTGGGCAGGTTCCCAGGATATGCCACTTCTGATTCCTTTCCTCTGCCTACTTTGCTCATTCCCAGAAATTAGCACATGATCCAGGATGTACCATTTAGATTATTTCTACCACATTTAAAAGCAGTAAATGAGAGAGAAGTCAGTTTTCTTACTCTTCTTTGGCCACAAAGCTAAAAGAATTTGTCTGGTTTTAATACCCACTCTCATTATCCATGCATACATACGCACACACGCACACACACACACACACACACACACACACACACACACACACTCTATACCAGCTTAGCTACTGTTGGAAGTAAAGAATCTGGCACAAATTACACAGAGGTATAGGGAGGAATCATCCTGGTGATTTGGATTTCATGTTTTAGTGCAAGTAATATTATGGTTTAGTGTTTTCAGAGATGTTAGTCTTTTTGCAACCAAATATATTCATTGCATCTTAAAGAACCACAGTGGAAAACAGTATATTCTCCCCATTTTAAAGATGGAGAATCTGAAAACAAGGTTTAGAAACTTAAGACAATCTTCCCTCCATCCATGTCTATACATGAGCCCACAGATCTCCCTTTGTGCTTGAGCTAGTTCTCTATCACCTGCAGCCACAGTTCTGATAGGGACCTGGTCTTCTACAGAAGTTATACGTAATATGAGCAAAGATGCTTATACCTGGGACCAGAGAACGCACAAAAGAGCATTTGTGGGTGTTACCAGTGGTAGGAAGTTTCTTGGTAGAGAATTTTTTTTTTTTCTGATCTCAGTATATGCATCACAAGGTTGGAATGGCATTCCATTAGAAGTATATAAGCAGACATTTAATCAATGTATAGCTTCCTTTGGCACTTTTCTGCTTTTTCTTACAGGAATGACTGAGTTTCTAAAGCTTGTTTTCAGATTCTCCATCTTTAAAATGGGGAGAATATGCTGTTTTCCACTGTGGTTCTATAAGATGTAATGAATCTGTTTGTTTGCAAAAAGACTGACATCTTTTGAAAATGCTATACTATAATATTACTTGGGACAGAATTGTCCATTGTTCCTTTCTGTTTATTTTTCAATGTTTTATGTCACCTGCCTACAAGAGGCCATTTTGCATATCAAACAGAGTTTAAGCATAAACACCAATAAATATAGTGTGATCTGAGTGCACATCTGTGTGACAGGTACTTGAAGTCTCCTGCCTGCAGCAATTCAGACATGTCTCTGTCAAAATAATTCAAAGATCAATGTTGCTTTGTGGATCACATAGCAACTCCCATGAGACTGATGCCTACATCAATCTAGGTAACTAAGTGATAAGGCAATTCCTTATCAACGTCTCAAATACAAATCATGTTTGGTCATGAAGATTAAATATGAAGGGCTGGGGTTGTGGCTCAGTGGTAGAATGCTTACCTATGTGTGAGGCACTGGGTTCCATCCTCAGCACCACATAAAAATAAATAAATAAAATTTATTGTGTCCACCTACAACTTAAAATAACTTTTTAAAAAGATTAAATACGATTCATTATGGTGATCATGACTCCGAGTGGGGGGCTCCTACATTCTGGCTCTTCATAGCAGGACCCATAGTCATATCAGTATTTCTACTTACAAACTATGGGATACCAGTATCCCACTCAGTCATTTTGTATCTGATTCATTTGTTAGAAGCTGAGTATTTCACCTTCTACCCTTTACAAAGTTTGGGGGAGGTAATTAGCTCCATAAATATGTGTAAAACCTTGATGTTACCTTGTAAGTCCCTTTTTATGATTTAGGGGTTTAGAGATTGCCTCTCCCACTTTGTCTTCTTGTGGTGGGAATGCTCAACACTCCACATCCCTGCAAAGGCTGTTTTCATATCCAGCTTCCAGCTCTGGTGCACCCTCAGTGTAGGGTAAGAGTTGAGTAGTTGTCTTACTGATTCTCGGCCACGTATTTCAAAATCAGTGCACAGTGGTGAGGTGCTTGTTTTTGTTTTAGATGTTATTTATGTAACAACTGCATGATTGGCCTGTGGTAGATTTCTCAATACATTCATTCAAACAATTTACTAGTTGAGAACCTGGGTTATAAGAGGCCAGGCTTAGAGGATTCCCCTGAACTAAATAGTTAGAAATGATCTCTTAGGAAGAGGCAGGGGAAAAAAGAGGTGCAAAATGGAAGCTGTAATAAAGAAATAAAAAGAGAACTGTAATAATCACCTGCATTGGTTTAACACTTTATAATTTATAAAACACCCAGAATATGCTAGCTAGCTTATTTGATTTTCACAATTACCTGCCAGAGAGACATTATTACTTCCATTAAAATTAACTTGATTAGTCTGAGAGAAGTAATGTCCGCCAGTTCTTTAATCAAATTAGCCTTTCAGGACTAATGGTGGATTTTGCCAAGGTAGTTAATGAGATGTGAATTAAATCCCCTGAATAGAACTAGATTTGTTGCTCTCTGGTAAGCCATAAAACAGAGTCCAAAACCTTTAAACCTAATGGGACAGGTATTCAAATTTTGTTTCCTCCGTCCACGCAGCTCTTGTGTACAACCCAGTTTAAAAGGGATTAGGTTGCTATCAAAACAAAAATGATAATGCCAGTCACCACCAGGAAGAATGTTCCTGTGAAAGACTCATAGTTACCTGGATTTGCTCCCACAAAAGGCCCTGTATTGGCAGCCACATGCAAGGAGGCTCACTTGACCCCAGCAGGAAGGGTTGATAGATATTGCTTTATCTTTGTAGCTTAACACCTTCGAAATTCAGCTCCCCTGGCATTAAGCTTTACCAGTTTTCACAGAGTTGTATCTCAGACTCATGCAGTTGAGCCCTCAAGATAAGGCTGATATTGGCAGCCTGAAATATCACTGGTGACATGGAGAAAGGGTCACTCAGTAAGATCTTGTACCATTACCTCCACCTCCACTAGGAAGAACAGGATCCATGGAAAGAGGAAAATTCATCACAGACCTGGAGTCTGGGGAGTGGGAGAGGGTGAGAAGGCATTAGGGCTCAGCAAGTCACACACCATATGATAACATTTAAGTGTTATTGTCACATTTATTTGAATATGACACCATTAATTGTAAGAAGCACTATGATTGTGTTTGGTTTCTCAGTAGCTTGAAATTTTATTGTCTATATTGAGGTTTTTTTCTAGACTTCCCCTTATTCCCAGATGAATTTGTCAAGTATTCCCTGCACTTTTAAAGCAAAGAAGGGTCATTCATGAATGATTTCTGCAGCTGATAAGAATCATAAGTAGTTAATGGCCTGAGAAATCCACCAGTTTTGAAGTTTGTACATTTGCAATCCAAGGTCGACTTGGTGACAAGAGGGGTCAAGGTGGCAAATAGGTCAGAAGACAGGTGGGAGGGTAGATAGGAGCAGGTGCCTGTCTTGTCCTCTGGAGCTAGAGGACAGCCAGAAGCTGAAGGCATTGGTGAGATGTGTCTCAATTTTGAATACTTTAAAATGTGGGATGTTCATCTTGGAATCAGTAAACTTGAAGTGGTCCTTCTAAGGCCTTTCTGGATAGCATAAAGTCTGGTTTAAGAATATTTTTTTTAAAAAAAAATATTACATATTTGAAGTACATATAGTACTGAATGCAGAAGAAAGATCCTTAGGGACCTACTTTACAGATAAAAAGCCGTTGATAAATTTATTAGTGTGTATGTTAGTGTTTAAAAACAGCTATACACCAGGGTAGGGTTATAGCATGTGTGAGGCACTGGGTTCGATCTTTAGCACCACATAAAAATAAATAAAAATAAAGGTATTGTGTCCATCTACAACTGAAAATATTTTTAAAAGAATAAAACAACTCTCCCAAGCACTCTAAGTGTTTGAATCTTTTTATCATGATCTGCCTTCCAGGTATGTCTCTGTGTCTTCCTATTCTTCCCCCCTCACCACCATCTTTTCTGTATGCACAATTTTGATCTGAGTCCTATGTAAGTGTACTCTGTGAAGAAATTTAAATATTGTAATTAAAGATATTTAACAGATCACAGACACTCAAATACATAAAGATATAAAAGACCAAATAAAGCATTGAAAAGGATATTTCCATTAAATAAGTAACATCAAATGCCATATAAGACTGTCAGGTAGTCAACCATGCATTTAGGATGGATGTGACCACTTTGAAGAAAGCTCAGGAAGATGAAGAAATAAACACGATAAAACTAGGGAAAGAATAAAATGCCATGGAATATTCAACTTGCCGATGAGAAGCTTAAAAAGTGATTTAAGAATTGAAAGAATGTTATACATAACTCATGAAGAATGCCCCATATCTAAATGGAAAGAAGAAGGAAGAATTCTAGATGTTAAGAAATGTTCCTTGACAGCGAGCTATTGAAGGACAGGAATTAAATGACCTACTTATTTACTTTCTTTATTTTAAACAAATTTATTGTGTATTTTTAAGACATACAACATGGTGTTTATATGTTGGCAGGAGGTGAAGGAATGGGAGAGACAGGGGAGGTATTGGGTTGTCTGATTTAAACACTGTTCTGGAATCTATTATTCATGAAATATGGTATTCAAGGATATTTCTACTGGCTTTGTAATCTGGATTTTTGGGTAGACTTATCAACTCTTTCATCATGC